GAGGATAACTTCCCTATTACCATTAAAAGATATCTAGAAAAGATCCATCAAAAGACAATATATCTCTCTGTTGAATTGATCATTGCAGGGTTCAAATGCTCTAATTAGCCATAACGCCTGTTAATTATATTATTATTAAATAAATCAAAGTGTCTCCATTTTCGAAAACACAAAAGATTTCTGTGTACCTCTCACGAATATTAATTCTACCTTACTTACTCTATTGGTAAAGTAGAGATGAAAATAGATTAAGTGGAGATAGAAATAGAGACTGTAAGTTCGATCTCTGTCGATTTCTCTGTGTCAATCTCTATCTCATCAATAGAATGATATACATACAATCATCAAGAGATGTTCATTAAAGCACCGAGTGGTTTAGAAATGTATTTATTGATACAAACAGACATAAAATTAGATAAACACGAAAACAAATGTGTCGGAAGACAGGTTCGAGAGTGGAATAAACAGCAAATACACAGTAAGACTGACAGAGAGACAGACAAAAAAGCAGACAAAAAGACAGAGAAGCCGACGGACAGACTTACAAACACTCTCAAAGAGACAGACAAAAAAGCAGACATACAGACAGGCCGGTAGACAGACAGACCAGGTGTAACGATAGGGTTCACCTAATCTACTTTCATTTCAGGCATGCTAATAAGGGCCAGAGCAGAGGTGAGGAGCGGGGGCTCCAGCAGACAGGACGTGCCTGCTGGGAAAGCAGGCGGCAAGAGCCAGCAGAGGTTCTTGCAATGTCACCAGGAAGAGAGAGGCTCATTCAATTATGCCTTAAGCATAATCAAGAGGTAAAATGCTCAGTAAAAAAATATTGCTTCTTCCTGTACAAATGGGAAGCTGCTTTCTTAAGCCATAATGCTGTATCTGTGAGGTCAATTATTCCATTAAGTCACTGTGAGTAGGAGTTGAATTGTTTATTATTCTCATTTAATTACAAAATTTATGCTTCATTACTATAATGACATGCAATTTAGTTTGACTTAATTTTTTTAAATTAAGTTTTTCTGAGTATAATTTGGTTTCAAACATTAAGTAAGACGTGATCAGCCTACTAAATACCATTCCTTTACCATTAACTCAAACCAACACCACGAAACGGTATTGTAGTTCACGCTAAAGGCAATACAAAGAGTTTATGATCACGTTATTTATCACTTCCAATCAGAGAAAGACGTAAACAGGGACTAGGAAGGAGAATACTGAAATATGTATATATATATATATATATATATATATATATATATATATATATATATATATATATATATATATATATATATATATATATATATATATATAATTTACTCCAAGTTTACATATTCTTTAGAACGAAATGTCATAAACATTGCCAATTGCAAATCTCGAAACAGCAGGGCATAGTTGGTACTTGTGAGGGTCGTTGTGGTGATGGTTGTTGTGGTATGCGGGAAGGGTGGTAATGAGGACAGTGGGGAGGATGGTGGGTAGTGGGGTGGATAGAGGAATGCAGGCGAAAAGGCGACGGTGGTAGGAAAATTCATGGTGAGCGAGAGATCGTACTGGGCGAGAGGTCGTACTGGGCGAGAGGTCGTGCTGGGCGAGAGGTCGTACTGGGCGAGAGGTCGTGCTGGGCGAGAGGTCGTGCTGGGCGAGAGGTCGTGCTGGGCGAGAGGTCGTGCTGGGCGAGAGGTCGTACTGGGCGAGAGGTCGTAGCGAGCGACAGCTTGTGTAGCCGGTCATAAAACTGTGAAAATAGTCACTCAACAAGGGAGAGAGAAGCTGATGATGACAGGGTGAAGGGGACAGGATAAGTCGGGAAGTGAGGTTGGTGTGTGAGTGATGGAGGGTGAGACTGGTGGATCTAGGGATGGGACCGGGAAGTGATGGATCTAGGGATGGAGGGGAGTGATGGGAGGCGAGGTAACAGTGATGGGAGACGAGGCTGGGTGAGGCAGGTCCGGGGTCGGGCTTGGGCCGGGGCCAGAGAAAGTTGGCGAGCCCGAGTGTGTGCTCAGGTGTCTATATAACGGTGGCTTGGGAGGGAATACTCAACTTCACTCCAATATTGATTTAGATCTCTGCATTATTACTCAGCGAGAGAGGGAGAGAGAGAGAGAGAGAGAGAGAGAGAGAGAGAGAGAGAGAGAGAGAGAGAGAGAGAGAGAGAGAGAGAGAGAATATATTGCTAATAAAACTATATAGAAAGCCTGACAAAACTAAAAGAAAAATAGAGAGAGCAAGAGAGAGATTAGTAGGCGACATAATCAAGAATGAAAAACCCGGACAAATCAGCACCTTTGTTAGAGATTCAGCCAGTGTCGAAGACTGCTTCCGAAGAACAAATTTACATAAACCAGAACAAGTTCTACTTTATCAACAAAAAATGCCAGACACTAACAAAAATTCAGACAGCTTAAAAAAAAACAAAATGAACTCTCCATAACTCGGAGAAACTTTACCTGCCACAGATTACGAAAATTAAACTTTCATGGAGTTCCTCCTCCATACGGATGTTTCTTAAATTAACTTTTTTCCCATTTATATATATTCTGGAGACGTTGCCTCCAACTCCTAATACATCTTCTCCTGCTTTTCCTCCTCCTCCTCCTCCTCCTTCTCCTCTTCATTTTCCTCCCCGCTCTCTCTTCTTGATTCCTTTCTCTTCCTGTTCCCTGAGACGGCGTTAGAGGCCAGCAATATCGTTCGTTATTTGATTCGTAATACCGAACTGGCGGCAGTTGGATCACTACCTAAGGGACAGTGAAATTACCAAATACATCCCCTCGCCTCTTCCTCCCTCTTTTTACCTATGTATATTGCTGTATGCTTGTGCGTTTTCACCTGAGTAACGATGATACTACTGCTTTACTCACCGAAACTTTAGTAAGGAAGGAACATGAAGGGAGAAAATTTTAGAAAATAAATTTTAGAAACGTTAAAGAGAAAGTTTACCATTACAACTGGACGCTCTATTTTAACTACTAATTATCCGTCTACTTACTCCATCTGCATCCACCACAAATACTACCACAACTGCTCCTGCTGCTGCTGCTTGTATTAAGACAAGCCATAAATATACTTAATTTAATTTTATATAAATATGTTAACTAGTATACCTGTGTTGGATGCAAGGTATTTTGAGACTCCTTAGTTACTGCACGCTTTGATAACGACAGTCATCTTATGCTTGGCAGCTTGGTGTAAGCAGTGAACTTCATTAAGACAAGGCACTTACGTTATGCACTGTTTAAGAAATCAAACAGATAGAACTCTTTAAACCAAGGTAAACATTTTTTCCTTAAAAACAGATAAATTTGTTTGAAACTAAAGATGGTTATCTTGAGGTTATCTTGAGATGATTTCGGGGCTTTAGTGTCCCCGCGGCCCGGTCCTCGACCAGGCCTCCACCCCCAGGAAGCAGCCCGTGACAGCTGACTAACACCCAGGTACCTATTTACTGCTAGGTAACAGGGGCATAGGGTGAAAGTAACTCTGCCCATTGTTTCTCGCCGGCGCCCGGGATCGAACCCGGGACCACAGGATCACAGTCCAGCGTGCTGTCCGCTCGGCCGACCTGCTCCCCGGTGATTGAAAATTTGGTGCAATTAACTATCATTACATTTCCATTTCTATATCAACATTTTATAAACAAATTCTAATAACTAATTTTTAATACACTACGGTTATCATGATTGGGATTTATGACTAAAATATTGTTGATCGTTATTGAAAGCAATTATAGAATATCTGTAAGCAGCACTGAGCAAGGCCATGGTGAAAATTACAGGTGTTTTTCTTAGTACAATCAGCCATGTTGATGCTGGATAATGCACTCAGTTTCTCTTCAAGAATGTAATGTAATCAATTTCTCATGTTGGCTACAGAATTTACAGTAATCAGTTCTCATGTAATCATTTTCTATGCAGCCAAACATCAGCCCACATTGCTGATATGATGATAATAATAGTAAACAAACTAAGACGCGTCTGGGATCATCCCAGACGTAGGTTCGAGCCCTCATCACGGCCCTTTGTGGATTTGTTCACTTTTTTCATTTGTTCATTTGTTTTCAATCATTTGTTCATTCGCTATATTGTTTTTCTGTGAAAGGAAGGGAAATATCAGGGAAAGCGCCATGCCAATAATGAATGATAATTAGTGGGTTGTGGATGATTGTTTGTGGGTTGTGTATCATTGTTCGTGGGTTGTAGATGATTGTTTGGTAGTTGTGGATTGTAGTTTGGTACTTTGGTACTTTACGGGTAGTAGATGATTATCTACTGTTGTGTTGATAATTGCTTGCACGAGCTGTAGATGATTCTTTGCGGGATGTGGATCATTGTTGATGATTAGTTAACGAATGTATGAACTTTGTGAATGAATATTGGTGAATTGTAGATGAATAATGGAAACAGACAAAACAAAAGCAAAAAAATTCGTGAAATATATATTTGCAACAAAAAAAACACAGAATTCCGCGTATATAAGTGACAAGACATATGTTTATGTCAGAGATATATCTCATATCCTACATCAAGTCTTCCCAGGTTACTGGGCAGAGTGGGCCCCTCTGTACTATCTGATTAGAGATGGACCAAATACTCAAGTGGTTTACGTAAACATAAAAACTGCTATACTTGTTGGCGAGAACTGACTGGCAGGCTATTGGCTGTTGGTTTACAATTACCGGTTTGAGGAAGCCAGCTGACTGGCTGCCCGTTGACCCAGATGGCACAGAGGGTTAGTATTTCTCTATCAGGAAACACCAAACTAAGAGGTTTAATTTTAATGCTGCTTTATCGTTCATTGTGCTTGTGCTTACCTTTAACTATAATACTATATCTTTATATGTCGACCAATTATGCAATATGAAAGCTGGGGAAAAAAAGAGGCAACGGTCCAAACTGAAACGCGACGAAAGCGTGTGAGACGCCGACGGAGGTCTGGCAACATGGGTCACGCAGCTTATAAAAGCGAAGATCATATTCTCCAGCAGATCAGTTAGACTGTGTCCTTCGCCTTGTGTGCGCTGGTGCTCGTGGACTGCACCGACCCAGCTCTAGGACCCTCGACCTCGCCTCCTCTTGCAACTATATTGATAGCGAGACCCTCGGGGAAATTATCGAACGAAATGATTAACGTAAGTGTGTGTGCAGTGGTTCTTTTTGGTATGTAATACATTGCTAGCTGCTTTGAGCATAGCCTTGCTGGACGAGGGAGAGATGGAATATTTTGCAGTTTCAGCACGTGGATGTGTTAGAAGATTTTGAGCGGTGGTAGCTTCGTTTAGCGAAGACTTGTCTCCTGAACAAATCCACAAGGGCCGTGACGAGGATTCGAACCTGCGTTGTCGTCTCCCACCTTAGTTTGTTCTCACGATTTAACAAGCCTCATTTTTGAAGTGGTCTTGCCTAACAAGACGATTTTACATATAGGTAACCCTGGTTGGAAGTAGTTTAAATAATTGGGACCAGATTCACGAAGCAGTAACGTAAGCACTTTCGAATCTGAACATCTTTTCTCAATCTTTGGCGGCTTTGTTTACAATGATTAAACAGTTAATGAGCTCCGAAGCACCAGGAGGCTGTTTATAACAATAAGAACAGTGAATTGGGAAGTTCTCATGCTTATAAACTGTTTAATAAATGTAACCAAAGCCGTCAAAGTTTGAGGAAAGATGTACACGTTCGTAAGTACTTACGTAACTGCTTTGTGCATCTTGCCCCTGGTTATTGAGCCTTTGTAAGACGCTTCTGCTTCGTCCTGTTACTCTCGCTCCTCGGGTGACCTTGAGGAACCGCTAGTTCACGCCCGTCCATGACCATGCGAGCTTCCGCCGCGTCACGTTCTGATACAGTATGATCAGTGTCGATTACTTTCCCTGTCACACCTGCCTGAGTCCTTCTGGGCTCTTGTTTTGGTCTGTCTGTCTGTATGTCTGTCTGTCTGTATGTCTGTCTCTGTCTGTCTGTCTGTCTGTCTGTCTGTCTGTCTGTCTCTCTCTCTCTCTCTCTCTCTCTCTCTCTCTCTCTCTCTCTCTCTCTCTCTCTCTCTCTCTCTCTCTCTCTCTCTCTCTCTCTCTCTCTCTCTCTCTCTGCTTCTATGACTTCAAGTGTTGAGTTTTATGTGTTACACTAAGCAAAAAATATATACATGTTCCCAGTTTTTTTTCAAATTCGCATGCGACGAACGACGATGGAATTGATAATTTCCGTCGGCTCTCTCTTCTACATAGATTATCAATATGCCTTTACGAATTGTTCTTTTCTGTGAAGTAAAATTTAAACATTATTTGTAAACTCACTGTAACAAATTATACCGCACAAGGGATATATAAACTAAAAGAATAAAGTATATGTGCTATATAGTTGGCCAGAAAGGTCTTATAATGGCCTGAGTAACTTTCCACAGGTTAGGAGGCCTAAATCCCATTACTAAACCAACATTAAATTAAGAGATATGTACACCAAGAGCAGTAACACCAACCCTCACCTCACTTCCCGGTGTATATGCACTAGAACTTTTTTGTTTAGCCTTACGGGAGACATCTCCCGTCACGCAGGGTGCAGTCGCACCTCCACAGATCTCCAGTATCATCTATTGATACTGGTAATGGCTCAAAAGGGCCGCCACTTACGGGCTATTCATGCCCGTGCCACCTTTTGGGTGGCTTAATCTTCATCAATCAATCATCTGTTTAGCCTTGAATTATGTTGGAGATTCATTTATATTTGCACGATATGATGATCAAAACTCTCACATCAGAAAATAAGAAATCGACGACGTTTCGTTCCGTCGTGGCGCGTTATCAAGTCGTGTGTACTTGTAAGAAGATCAGTAATGTCTTAAGGTGGCGGTTGAGAGCTCAAGATGAACAATCCATTAATTCACCATTGCTTGGATAGTTACACAGAGAAGCAGACGATGAGTCGCAATAACGTGGCTGAAGTATGTTGACCAGACCACACACTAGAAGGTGAAGGGACGACGATGTTTCGGTCCGTCCTGGACCATTCTCAAGTCGATTGTGTTACACCGAGAAGCTTGTTCGACTTCTCGGTGGATTTACACTGAGTTTACTTTTGGTCCTGGACTATGTTGCGGCCTAAAAAGTATACTTGATTGTTGATCAGTGAGCATACTTGATTGTTGATCAGTGAGCATACTTGATTGTTGATCAGTGAGCTATTATGGTGGCCTGAGAGATTGACAAGCCTTGCTAATCCCTCTGCAAGTTGATATAGGCCTTCAGCCCAACACCGAAACCAAATAAATCATAAGGAATTTTAAGATAATTTTTTGTATATATAAAATAATTCAATATATTTAAATGTCTCGCCATCGTCGTTGTCACCAGTGTGTGAGAGATGTGTTCCGTCATGATAAAAATACATTTATAACATCTCTCCTCCTAATGGGTTAATTAATTCCTTCTGGTTACTAACCTGCTGCGACCTCTATTATTTTTGCCCATTATATTTTTATGTGAGGCTCGTTAATGCAACAAAAATTCAAGAATAATCTTAACGTCAAAATTTTGGACAGTGTAACTCACTTATTTTTTCAATCTTATGCAATTTCCTTGTCTTCTTTAATGGTCATTGAATTAATTAGCATTACAATATTTTTTTATGTAATTGGCATTTATTATGTTAAATATTTTAACGTGTATTGTTAAATATGTTGCGTCATTCACTTCCTCACACGAGTAATGTGGAGTTATTTGTAGACTGTCTAGTTTTCAGCCCCGGGGCTGAAAACTAGACAGTCTAACCCCATACATCTGAAAATATAGTAATAGACGACGTTTCGGTCCGTCCAGGACCATTGTGAAGACTTAGGGAGAGTCCCAGCACGGACCGAAACGTCGTCAGTTATTCCTATATTTTCCTCCCTGAGAGTCATTTAACTATAATGTCTGCCGCGAGGTTACACCATTAGTCCCGTAAGTGAGGATGGTGAAAATGTATGGGTCCTCTACCGGACTTGACCTTCACCATCAAGGGGCCGGGAAGCACACACCCCTTGACGGTCAGCTGAGGAGCGTCATGTATAAGAACTATTTGTAGGCCACGTAGCAACCCGTTTCTTCACTTGTGCCGCCCGTCCACACCTGCGGCCTCCTGACACACATGCTACGACGCCCAGCAAGTGGGTGTTCCACACCTGCGGCCTCCTGACACACATGCTGCGACGCCCAGCAGGTGGTGGGTGTTTTGGTCCATTGCCAAGGCGTACAGCCCACATTCCGGTCCGAGACACACCTCGGCGCAACACAGCACTGACCTCCTTTTATTATTTGGTCAGCAGGACTGTGCTCTGGACAGGTCGCTCACCCCGACACGGTCTTTAACTGATCTCTCCCCAGTCATTAAACACTTTGTTTCAAATAAATTATTCTTCAAGTAGCATGACTGGGAACGCGAAGCATGCAGACACCTGTAAATCTTTCACTCCTGCCTCAATGAAATAGAAGTATTTCTGCTCCCCCAAACTTGCGCTTTAATACATAAATAAATATTTATATATTATTTAAATGCAATGTATCACTATTGGCTCCGTGTCTTAACGGGATGCTTGGGATAACATCTTAGAAGAATTGTATCTACGTAACACAGCCAGACAAGAGCCAGAGTGCGCCAGTAACAGCACCTCACTCAGCACAAATGTCTTATGACTTGAATAAATGCACAAGGGCCGTTGCGAGGGTTCGAACCTACGTCCGAGAGGTTCCCAGACGCTGCCTTAATCGACTGAGCTACGAAATGGTATAAGAATTGCAACCGGGAAATCAGCTTGACCTACCACGGATATAACAAAGTCATATGACTTCGTTATATCTTTATTTAGAACTGGAACTCTGTTACGCTTATCAAGATGCCCACTGACAAAGCGCGAGGTCACACATCCATCTACTATCCAGACCCAACGGAGCGTTAACTTGACTGATCGAGTGGCACTAAACATCAACCACTGTGCCAACCGTTCCCGAGACAGGAAGGGGAAAATAATTTGCTACCGCAGAGATTGAGGTGACTGCTTCAAGTGTTCCGGGTCAAGCAAGAACCCGGCGCCTCTTCCGTTAGAGAAAGCGGCCGTCCGCTACCTGAAGGTGACATGGATAACGACGAGGAAAGCAAAAGCTGGAAGCACTGCACGCACCCTGGCCACGTTCAGCGCCCTGGCCACGTTCAGCGCCCTGGCCACGTTCAGCACCCTGGCCACGTTCAGCGCCCTGGCCACGTTCAGCGCCCTGGCCACGTTCAGCGCCCTGGCCACGTTCAGCGCCCTGGCCACGTTCAGCGCCCTGGCCACGTTCAGCGCCCTGGCCACGTTCAGCGCCCTGGCCACGTTCAGCGCCCTGGCCACGTTCAGCGCCCTGGCCACGTTCAGCGCCCTGGCCACGTTCAGCGCCCTGGCCACGTTCAGCGCCCTGGCCACGTTCAGCGCCCTGGCCACGTTCAGCGCCCTGGCCACGTTCAGCACCCTGGCCACGTTCAGCGCCCTGGCCACGTTCAGCGCCCTGGCCACGTTCAGCGCCCTGGCCACGTTCACAGCTCGCATAGTAGCAAGAGACGAGTTTTGTTATTTGGGTTTCGTGTTTAGCTTCAGCCTTTTACTTGTTGTGTGCTTTCCACTTGTCTTCAGACTTTGAAGTCTTCAAAACCTGGTGGTCTACTGAGGGTGAGGGATGAGGATGGGAGGGGGAAGGGAGGATGAGGGATAGGGATAGGAGGGGAAGAAGGGGGGAGGGATGGGGGGCTGGAGGGGCGGGGGACGTGGCCTACATACTTGAGACGCGGACGAAGGCAATCGGTTACCTACCGACACACTGCCGGAGGCTCTCTTCCGTGGCTTCCCCCTCCCCCCCCCCCTTCCCCTGCTCCGTGTTACCCCCTTCCTTCTTCTGTCCTCACCCTTCCCACCTACTCCACTAGGGGCTCCCCTTCCTTCCTTGTTTAACCACACTAGTCCCCCTTCCACTCCATGCTTCCACTTCCCCAAATCCCCTATTCTTTAAATAGGAGAAAAACAACTTGAGATTAAATTGCATTTATGAAATAAATGCAACTTAATTCAAAACCTTCTTCTTTGTAACCATGACTAAGAAAACAAAAGTTGAATGAATATATTAATATT